AGCAACGAGACATTTAGTCAAGGGCCAGCAACATATAAAATGACCAAAAGGTTAAAATTTATTGGGCCACATATTTTCAAAAGTGAACTTCTGCTAAAATAAAAAAGACATGTCTAAGCTGGCACACAAATTACCCGTACAAATACATTTAATTTTCAGTGGGTGCCATTTAATAGCAAAGAAACTGTTTTTTCTGAAATGAGAGAACAAGAGCACCCATGTGGGTTTGGGGCCTGGCCATCTATTTAAGCATGCAATTGCAATTTTCTGGCTTTCTGAAATGTGATTAGTCATATAATTGCATGTCCAAATTTAGCTGTGGAATTTGCATATTTAATTATGAATTACTGAAAAGCATCCTGTTTTAGAGCTTTATTTTCTATATTGTATATATCAAAGTGAAGAGGAACAGATTATATTAATCATTTTGAAAAGTTCTCTGTATGTGTTAAAGTAATAAAAGAGAAAGCAAGAAAGAGGTCATCATATGCAAGGAAACTACTATTTTCTCAGCTCTTTCTGAAAACCCAGTATTTCAGAAATACATTTTTGGCAATAATACTGTACTTGGTATCTGACATAAGGGCAAAACATGTAAGGAGAAGCTCTTGTTTATGCTACTGCCTCCTATAATCAATGTTGCTGATGCTGAGGCATTCATTTTTGTCAAAATTAGAGATGAAAAAGATGATTAAATAATTCCTCTAGCAACACAGAATGTAAATACATACAGTACTTTGGAGTACTGTCCAATCTGTCTTTAAATAACATAAGTGCTCTGGAAGATGGTTTCACTCCCTAACACCCAGTCCTTAGGAAAAATGAGTGTTTACCTTCTTTCAGATTTTCTACTGGTTTGTGCTCTTTATTGCCTGAATAATCTTAAAATTCAGATTAAAAACTACAAACAAATACACAGACATAGGAAGAATGAAATATTTTAACAGGAAAAGAAAGGGGCATCACCAAGCAACGGTACACACAAACATGGGGACACAACATATTTGAAATCCTATTTTTGCTTTTTTACCCGATGTTCTAGCAAATATTTTCCCTTTCATTTGTACTTGTCACATGGTTCATTTTTATTTCAATATATCAAATGCTCTGCAAGTGCAGTAGCAAATGAAACAGCTACTCAGGGGTAACTTTTGGAAATCTGGCCTCAGATAAATATAAAATAACCTTTTCTTTTAGTATGTATTGCTATCCAGATTGTTCCTCAGTCCTGTTCTTTTTGAGCACTCAAAAATTCCTGTAAAATATGGCTAATTTAGGGTATATACGTAAAGTGCCTAAGAACAGCTTTCAGGTAAGCTTTCTATGTATGTAGTTCAATGTGGGCTTGGGAGCAATTCTCATTATTGTTTGTAGATTGAGAAAAAAAATGGTCTGGAAGGAATTTCAAGAGATTCTTTAATCTGTCTCTGTGCTACAAGGCAGGATCAATTATTTCTGAATCATTCCTTACATAGATTTGTCTTGTCAGCCTGCTCCTAAATCCTCAGGTGAGAGAGATCCCATCACTGTTTTGAATGCCTTGCTCAGCCATCGTTAGAGAGCTTAGCCAAATACAGACTCAGAGAAGTTGGGAGGAGAAAGCAGAGAAGGAGAAACTGAGCTGTACAACCCATTCATTTGATCAAGAGAGGATGGAGGAAGGTAGGAAGACAGTAAATAAAGTGACAAAAAATAATTACATCTGCATTTGCCAAGGAAGGAGTAGAAAACAGGGCTGTAGAGTGTTTCTATCTATGGCTTGGATTGTCCATATTCTTTGTGTCCACCTACACAATTTCATTAGAAAGAAGCATTATACTTTTGGGGAAGGCAGGGCAAGTATTTTTTTTTGGAAAAGTAACATTAGCAAATTCTTATATTTTTTTTTTTTAGAATTTAAACATTTGCTGATCAGCATGATTATATAGTACTCCAGACTGTAAGAGAAGTTAGATTTTGGGACAATGTGCTAAAACAGTGCACCAAAATCCTGAAGAGGCATAATATGGAGCTTGATTATTTTAAAATGAATAGTCTATTCTATGGTCTTATCTCTCGCATTGTCCAGAAATCACAACTAACTGTCTTTGCTACCTGTATAAATGCACATACATTTTATTTTGGTCTTCCTTTATTAATTACAGTATACATATTTTATTTTTAGAACCTTACCTTATCATTCAGTTGCTACCTGGCTTCAGTCTTCTGCTCAGTTTCTGCTATATGTTATTTTTTAATATAGTCACCAATTCAGAGTTTATCTTTAGATATGAAATATCTAAACCTGTGATAATACCTGTGAAAAAGACTTGTTTTTTGCTTTATTGCTAGCTTAACTATTGAAATATTCTTTTTAATATATTGCAAGAAAGCAACTGAATGATGGCACTAGGCACCCTAACAAGATTAAAAGGAGAGTCTTTATATATGACAGCACTGTTAATTTCAACCCTTCATTGTGGCCAGCAACGTTTGATAACATTTTTCTCTTTCTCATTCTTTACACTGGCTGTCAATCACTGAGGACCATTTTTGCTCCAGTTCTGCTGAAATGGCATACTTCTCATTCCAGTTGCCTTTAACAAATGCGTGTCTTTAATTTCTAATTCTTATTAACTGATATAATGCAAAGACTGGACCAGACTTTCTTCTCTGCCCCCACCTTCTAGTATGCCTCTGTAGCTCCATGGTGTCTATAAGCTTTTTAGGAGAATGTTCTTTAGCATCCAAGTCCCATTAAATTATATAAATGCACTTAAACAAGTGCCTTTTGCTGTTCAATTTTACTAGAACTCCCACATCAAAAGCAATTTCACAGGGGCAAAATTGTCCCTTCAGTCCCTGGCCCTTTCACACTCTGCCAGAACTGAAATGGTTCTGTGCCGGGCTGTTCTTTGCTGAAAATCTCCACTATGCCCGCAAGGAGCTGCATGATTTGAATCCATTACATATAGAGCCAGATGATTAGCTGGTGTAAGTCAGGATGGCCCCATTAACTTCAGCGGAGCCCTGTTGGCTTCCAGCAATGAAGCATCAACCTTTTGCTTGGATTAAGATGCCACAGATAGAGAATTTGAACGCCAATAACCTTTATAAAGGGGAGTGGGGTTTGGGCACAGGAGACAGAGTTGAGGGAGAGTGCTGGAATGAAGTAAGGTTCAGGCAGAAGTTTCTGGGGCCACAAAATATGTAACTGAAAGGGAAAAGCTGGAAGTTTGGATGGCAGGTGATGGGCACCATCAGAGCATAAGCGTACAGACACAAAGCTAGCAGATAAATTCCAGTGTCATTTTAATTCAGTTCTTAAGCACCCATCAGTTGAAATGAATATCTTTAGGTGTAGATACAGATGTTAGAGATTTATATGATCATGACAGAGATATAGATATTGATATGGACATTAAATCATGGATTAATCATCACATCTTCTTGGTAGCTGTTGGTCTAAGTTCATGACTGTGTTTATTTGTGGTTTTCTTAGCATAATGGCATATTTATGGATCCAGAAGTACCATCTAATACTATGTCATAAAAACACAGAGCAAATTAATTAAAATTAAAATGTTAATATTTATTTTAAAATATATTGTTTGTTGTTCAAACCTTGGTAACATCCACAGTTCCTTGAAAGCTTTTTCCTCAGCTCCGAAGGCCTTGAAGAGGGCTGCAGTCCAATCCCCGACGACCCGTATGTGAACGCTGAAGAAATCCTCCTCAGGAGCTGAGGTGAGGGTGAAAGGGTGCCACTCCAGCTGTGAGACGGATGAGCACTGCAGAAAGATATATTGACCAGGTTCCATTTTAAAGCCACATTTCTTCATGTGAAGCTCAAGGACTCCAGAGGAATGCGTCACCACCTAAACAATAATAAAAAGGACCTGGTTTGTTTTCCCTCAGAAGACTAACTGTTAGTTTCCATTAACTCACAGGTGACTTTGCCATCATTTCTACTTGAGTTCAACCGCAAGTTAATGCAAATTGGGATGCACAGTAATTTTTAAATGTCTTGTAGGTTGTGGCCTAAACTGGGTGTTGCAGTGCTGTTGCTGCCCAGCAGCTTGAGAGCGAGTACAGTGCGTACCGTGGGGCAGCTTGCTTTGTGAGTGTGAGAGTCAGGGGAAAGGCCGTAACAATCCAACAGTTTGTCAACTTTCTGCTTTAGTAGAGCCTGTGCAAAAGTATTCCTTAATAGACTGGAATAATTTCCCAGCTTTACTCTCTTGTAACACAATTAACATGTATGGGATTATTGTTGGTTTGGCAAGAAGAAAAAAGCCCAGTGAGCTCAGTTCTAATGTACTTTTATTAAGAGGTAGTCTCAGTTAAGCAGCCAGTTTATAGTATATAAACCAGCACATAGTATATACTGAGGTTCTCAGATCACAGCCACTCTGTGAAATCAGCAGCAAGACTTATCCTACATGCTTTTCCTCTCACATGAGATAAGCCTGTTCCTGATCGCCAGCTTGATACGTGTGGATTCGGCTGCTTCAAGAGCGGCATTCCCCATCCATTCTGCTCTGACTTAAATAGGCCCTTAGCCCACAGAGATATTTACAGCTGGGATAAATTGTTACAGTTGTATTAATGAAGCTTTGACTATTTATGCTGACTGATAATATAACCCCTAGTATCCTTTTGGAAACCTCTAGATTTGAAAGTAAAACCCATGTCCTACTGAAGGTGAGGGCAACTCTGGCATTTACGGCAGTGGAACATGGTTTCAGTGCAACAAAAAGAGAGACCCTCTCCACAGATCTTTATGTTATCATGGTGTAAAATCTGGTACTTCATTAATCAAGTCTGGCCCCGTATGGAATATTCTTATGGACTATTGGGATAAATGCAAAACCTAAAATCAATACTTGGCTGAAACCATAGTAATGATGGAAGAGCTGCTGAAGTTAGGAGTGAAAAATGAGGTCATAATGCAGAGAAGTTATCTATAAAAGATAAAAAAATTCATTGACATAACATTTTTTTATGCAGACATGCAAGCTATGTTACATACCTTAGTAATGATCACCTCCTGTCGAAATCTCCAAAATCTAACAATTCTTTCACAGATGTACAACACCATAGGACTTAAAACCCACTTCCAAGCCTGTAGAAAGTTGCATATTGAAAAATATTTATTTTAATGTCTACAAAAATATTTTGCATTTCTGGTTTAAATCCGCAGGTAGGCTAAAATGGCATTATTTGACTTCTCTGATTTTTGGTTTGCCTTTCTCAAGAGAATATTTCTGTTGCTACTGTAGCTGTTCTGGCTTTCTTGTGGAACAGACATATGGGACTCCTTCACAGACACACTCCAAAAGCAGTGCTAATATCTATCTGTATTCTGGCCAAGAAGAGTCCTTTAAAATCTTTTCCTAGTAAAAGGCAAAAGGATTAATCTATTTACGTGTTACATATAGACGTCATTGGACCTGAAGACATATAGATGCATACATTTATACAATATTACCCGTAGCCTTACTTTTTTTTTGCTTTTCAAAGTCTAAAATATTTCAGAAGGGTCAGATAGGAGTAGCTCTTGTGGTCAGCTGTGAGTTTTCTGATGCTGCATGAGAAAACATTAAGTCCCAAATATTCAATTAGAGGAATGGGATATATTTCCATTTAATCCATTAGTTGGCTCTGTATCAATAAATGTGGTTTTTTGATCTAGGATACTAAGGTGGTCATACTTTAAGTATCGCAGATGATTGCTGTGCTTGTACTTGCTAATCCTATATACTGTTCACTGTAACAATCAAAGATACTTGGCTATTCAAGTGTACTGGCTGATGATTTCACTGAGTTGCACTGATAGCTAAGATAATTGGATGTAATTGAACCTTCATGATTAAAAAAAATCTTTTTTTTTTTTTTTCTATAAGAGATACTGGTTTATTTCCAGTTTTGTTAATTTACACAGCTCATTCTAGCAAACTGAAGACTCCACAGTCATGTGGCTTTTAAAATCTCCAAAGAGTAACTTTACTTGCTGAAACATTGACTTTGCTCCACAAGCTGGGTAACAGGGGTTATAAAGTATCTTTTACGAGAAGCAACCCATAAAATTATGTGGCTTCCCTAGAAAGTGTTAAGAGGATGGAGTGGCAATTTCTCAAGGTTAAGTCTTGAAAATTAAATTAAAAAATGCATGATTTAATAATGGGAAGAAACCAGTGTAAGCCAGAAGATTCTCAGTTAAAGCAGAAACCCAACACATCCGTTGTCCCTAAATACTACAGGTGTCTCTGCACAGTGGGTGATCTCACATGTCTTGAATATATTTGCATATATCAAGCCACAGTAATGATGAGATGTGTTTTTCCTCCCTTCCATTTGTGCTACCTGTAAATAAAAGCACGTGACAGGAATACTAAGGCTGCAGGCTACCCTGTGTGAGAGCTCAGCTGAGATTTCAAATGTGCCATCGCACCAATGCATGGAGCATTCAATCCAAAATATCTTTTGGCTTGGTTGGGACAACAGGGCATCCACCAGGAGGGATGGGCTGCTGGGCAACATGGCTCCGGGCCACCTAATCAGAGCATCGGTATTCTTGTCCAAGTGGTGTTTCCTCCTGTAATGAGAATGAACTGAGGTGGGTCAGGGATGGCTCAGGAAAGACTGTGAGGATAAAAGTCCGTACACCCCAGGTGCAACAGAAGTGCTTCACTGTCCTCAGTGGGAGCCAGGCTGGGTTCCCACCTGCTGAAACACAGAGCGGGGGAGCAGATGCGGCATGGCTGAGAGAGGGGCTCCGCTGTGGTAGCCTCCCCTGGGAGCTGTGGCCAGCGGGGCGAGCACTCCGGTGTCACCTCACACAATCCCAGCTGTGCACAAGGCTGTCCCCTCCCTGCTCAGTCGCATCTGCATCTGCCCCACCAGTGCTGTGCAAGCCTCGCCGTGGCTTTTTAGCCTCTGAATGAATTTGCTCTAACTGCAGTGTCTAGCAGGTATCACACCATAGCGCGTTACCCATCCAGTAAAGCACTGTTCTTATAGATGATCTGTATGCCATACAGCATTATCACAATTCATTGAAAGTAATGTGACTTTGCAGGTATGGCCTTGGGTACGCAGGAAAGTGTGGCAAAATAGGTTTAACACGGAGAAGTGGAAGTTCTCTCCGGTTAGCTTTATGATAATGAATGTGAAGCCATGCTGTTGGAAGCAAGCTTGTGTCTGTATTCATGGTGCGTAGCCACGTATTGATTTTTATGGCGACATTGTAGCTGAAATTTTTAGAGAGGCATTCATTTTCTCATTAATATGCGGGTTGGATAGTGGCTAACAATAGTTTAGTTTAAGAAAAATCTATGTCAGCCATTAAAAGAGCTACAAGACACTGAATGCTAATTTTTCTCCTTTACTATAAGATTTCCTTCGGTATATTTTCTCTTTTTGGAAGAAACAACAAAAACTTGCATATGAGCAAGCTAAATCTTGAGCTGTAAATGTTAAATGATTTTGTTTGGATGCTAGACATCTGACATACTGTACAAGTCTGCTACTTAATTACCCCCTGTGGATTTGCAATCTTGTTGCAGCAAAACCACCCTTCCGTGGGACATTTTTCCTGCCTTTTGCCTTTCCCTTTCATAATTCATTGTTTCAAATTCTCTCCTTTTTACCTAACTTGAGGCATCAAGGCTGGACAGTATGAAGCATGTGCCCCAAAGCAAGGACATAATTTTATCTCCAGCTTATTCTCCCTGGGTATTTAGACTACCCATATTAAAGTACTATTAGTTAAAAATAATAATATTCATTTGCATCCCTAGCTTTACTCTTGCATTGTATTTTCTGCATCTCTGCTCTCATATGGTTTTCACTTGGAGGCTCTGTTTGTGCAGTGAACACATTGAGGATATTAGTGATACTGAATAATTAAAAATAACGGTACACAACAGATTTAAATATAGTACAATTCTGAAATCCATACCTTTCAAAGGGAGGGTTGCCTGACTGAAGGATCTTCCAGAAATAAAAAATGTTATTAATAACACCAAAATATTACACACCACTCTTCATCTGTACCTGTCTATACTGATTATATAGGAGGTCAAGATCAGTATCTTAATGCACAGGGAGGGGTCATGGAACAGAAATGTGAAACTACTCTCTAAACGTGACACCAAGTGCCAGCCACCAGCACTCACTCCAGCCCCCTACTAGCTAAGACATTTGGCCTCCCAAGGAAGGGCATTAAGTTGAAAACAGAAGACAAACATTGCTCTTACCACAGGTTTGTTGCCAGAAAACTGCGGCAAAGGGCACTGAGTGGCGTTGTCCCATTCCAAGTAGTGATCCTTACAGTAAGTGACATTGTGAAGCAACAGACTCTGAGGTGTCTGACCTCGGACAAGCTGTCTTAAAACAAAAGTGTTCATCAGTGATACGCTTCTTTGCAAGGTTTCTGGGCATCTGTAGGATTTGCGCTAGTAGGCAAATGCAGATTTGGAGATAACTGAAAGCCCAAGAACTGGCCATTTCAACCCTATTTTGCTCTCTTGTTCAAATTACCTTTCCTTCAGCTCCTCCATGACTATTTGACTGCATGCAAGAAACGTGTTATAGTACTGGTATACATCAATGCAGCTGAAGTGTGGAGAGTCCTTGTGTAGAAAATGTACATTTTGCTGTTTGTGGCAAAATTAGAAAGATTTCCAAGTTCTTTGGAGCAGACACTTTGACCCCCTCTGTATATGAGCATCTGGCTTTGTTTAGAAAAATAATAAAATTTAATAGTGACAGAACTTCTTTTTCCTTTGCTGCTTTCTAAATGCATTTTTAAAAGCTGAAAATAAAGTTGGAGGACTGTAATTAGATGTGTACTCTCTAAACATATTAAATTCTAGCTTCTTTACTTCAGAGAATGTTAATGATGTGAATTTTCCCAAACATATCAATCCTGACTGCTCAGTTTAAATGGGTTTCAGCTGGTGTTGATTATGGGTAGAGAAGGAAGATTTTTATGGGGAAACCCTGTTTTGTTTCATATTGTTTCTGCGAATTTTCCCTTCCATACTTACTTTGGCTCTACAGTGTTAGCCTGTCCTGCCCACAGGTTCAACAAGGGACAGGGAGATATGAAGTGATGCCGCCTTCTACATGGTGGTGGTGCTACTGTTCTGGTGCCACCAGTTCAGACAGAAAGACAGAAAAGGAGGTAGGCTTGAGTGAGTTTTGTTCAGTCACCTGGGAAGGAGAAAGAGGTGGGAAGCGAATGAAACCTTGGGGTTTGTCTCCTTTTCTTAAAAGGGGTGGTGGCAGGGATGTGCTGGGGCAGCAGGGCGCTGCTCTGTCGCACCGCACTCCCAGCCTGGAGCAAGTGGCGTGCTCATGGGATGCTATCGACAGAGCTGTTAAATAAATGTCCCCTTTCTGGGGAAGTCTCTTGCTGAGGAGTGTCGATCAGCTGGCTAGGCAGAGGGTGCTTACAAAGCTGAGGGTTTAGAGGGTTCATTATAGTTGTTTGAAATAGGATTCTAAAAGGTTTGCCAGAGAGAGAGGGGAAGGGGGCCATTTTAATCAGGCCAGGGTAGAGTTTACAGCATTTGTTTGCAGCTGTGTCTCTGAAACTTGCGACTAATTAACTGGGCCAATTTCAGGAACACTCAAAGCCAAGCTGAGTGTGGCAGCTCTCGAATTGCAAGAAAAGAGGTGAGAAAAGTAACACACCTCAAAGCCTTGTATGGGCCTGTTCCCTGCCCGGTGGTGACACTGTGTACCTCCAGGGAACAGGCAGACGCTCAGGCTGCTGCGGGCTAGAAGTCCCTCTGTGTCAAAGAGTAGTGGTCTGTATGTCTTTTGGTGGTGGGCAATGCCATCTGCATGTTTTACGAAGCAGACATAAAAAGTGTGTTATATTGACACCAAGTCACTCTGTCCTTAGATCTGAAAAGCTTTACAACAGCTCGGGGCCATGTGTACAGTAGAT